TATTTTTATTTTCATTCTTCCATTTAATTTTTTCATTTTTTTAATATTCTCCATTATTTATTCAAATTTATTAAAAACCATAAATTTTAGTAGTCTTATTATTAAGTGAGAAGAAAAAATAATTAAATAAGATACAAGATTCACAAAAATTTATAATTTATAATAAATTTAATTAATAGTAGAATTTTTTTAAGAAATAATGTTGCTAACATTCATCTTATTGCTTATCTATATTAATCAATCATTTCTATCTTTAGTTTTAAATTAAATTTTAATATTTTTAAATTAAAAATATCAGTCATTAAAAATATTTTTTTTATCACAATATAGTTTTTTTTATCGATTTAAATATATGTATATATATATATATATATATGTTTGGAATTCTTGAAATATGAATACACACTATTTTGACATCAAACAAATTTTAATCATTTATTAAAAAAAAGTCTCATGTCAAAATAGTGTGTATTCATATTTCAAGAATTCCAAACATATATATATATATATATATATTAGAGAATTTTTAGCGTTATATCTTATTTTGATTGTTTAAATATAGGATGCATTAATTAACAAAAATTATCATTGAAACATAATACGATATTTTTTTAAACAAATATTATTATTTTTAATAGATTATATTTTTTTTTTTGAAGAATGTAATTTTGTTCAAATCAATAAGATAATTATAAATGACAAAAAAATTTCTTTAAATATTTAATACAACTGTGTATATCTATAACTTAAACTAAAAATTAAGTTGAAACAAGTTTTTATTAGTTAATTTATGTGTTTATCGACGACATTATTGTTTATCGATAAATAATCATTAAAAATATGAGTAGCTCGTTAAATTAAGAATAATTGAATAAAAAAATAGATAAAATATTTAAGAACATTTATTTTAAAAAAATTTCTAAAAAAGTGTTTATTAAAAACACTTTTAAAATTTTAAACAAACTAACCCTTGGCATGTTGGATCTATTTACTTAAGCAACTCAATGATATTTATCACATAAACTTTAATTATGTACTTTTGTAAACGAGTTAATGAATACAATGCTTTGACGGAAATATATTTTTATCTTTCAAACAAACAAAGTTAAATGTGATACATAAAAATTATAAATAAAAAATTGCACTATCCTCATATAAAAGTATAGTTATAATTCAATTTATTTTAACTTAAAAAAAAAGTCAACATTTTTTTAGATAATTAGTATTATTGATAATAGGTTTTAAATATCATTATTGACTTAAAACTTTGAAAATTAAATGAAAATTAAGTGAATTTTTTTTTTCTATAAAAAAGATAACAATAATGGTGAGAATCAACCTAAGTTATCATATGTCTACTCTACTCCAACTACTTAGTTAATTATGTTTCTTAGATTAATGTTTTAAAATCAATACAATATTTAAAATAAGTGAATATAGAGATTGAAGAGAAAGAAAAAAAATTCATTAAAAATTAATTAATAATTAATCTTTAATGAATAGAGTGATGGATATTTTCTTTCAACAAAAGAAGAAAATACATTATTTTAATTATAAAAAACAATTTTACATTCTTATTAAGTTAACATTTAAATGGCAACATATTTTAATATTTTATTAAAAAATATCAACATGTGTCCAAATATAGAAAATCATTTTATAAATATAAAATTTTTATATTTTAATTTAAAAATGATATATGGAAATTGACACCTAAATCAATTTAACGTAAATAAAAATGATATAGATAATTTAGAAAGAACTATATTTATAAACTCCAAATTTTAAACCCTAAATCTTAAATTTGGTTTCATTGGATACTCAGCCATATCCACCAACAGGGACGGAGCCAGGATTTCAATACTGGGGGGCCGAGAATTGGAATGATCAAATGAGGCGCTACATTTTTTTAAAAAAAAAAAAATTCCAAAGTGATACCACATAGCAGGCCGTACCAGAAGTCCAAAAGTTGAATAAAAAAATAAATTTGGGTTATTCATTTAATTATACATATGAGTTTATATTAAAAATAGGGGGTGCCATATAGTAATATATATGTATATAAAAAAAAATTAAAATTGTTGGGAGGGCCGTGGCACCCGTAGGTCCCCCTTGACTCCGTCCTTGTCCACCAACATACATGCAAAACCCATGACAATCTACCAAGGCCTTGTTATTGCTTGAGAGAGAGGATACAAAAGTGTACGTTTTACACTAATTTCATGCAACCAATTCACACCTTTAAGCAATAACTACCACTGACTCATATATTTAAAATTTTAAAAACAAAAAAAAAATTTTAATAAAATAAATATTAATTACTTGTAAAAATATATACAAATATATAGTTTGATCAGACACATGTTCAAATACAAGTAATAATTAACTCATTAAATAAGATGCAAGTACGAGACAAATATACATCCATTAAGTCCTAAACCTGTATTTATATTTACTTAAAATTTATAAATATTTAATTTATTTAAAAAAATACTTAAAATTTATGTAATTTTTTATTCTATTTTTTAATTTATATTGAATAAAATTTAATTAATACAATTATGTAATTATTAATTTTTATATTTTTTTAAAAAATATTATTTAATTAATTTTTAAATTAATACAGAACAAATCTCAACGAATATGAAAATAGGAACGTAAGTTTTTATTCATCATTAAATTTAGAAAGAAGGCTAAAACCCTATTTTAGTCCTTTATAATAATTGTTTGTTTCAATTTAGTCCCACTTTTATTTTTTGTCTCAATTTGGTTCCTAATAAATTAATTAGTTTCAATGTTGGACTTTCGTCTAAATTATTTAAACAGAGTTAACTGTTGGTCACGTAAATGCCACGTAGATGCATAGGTGGATGCCACGTGGATGCCAAATTTAATGAAAACACCTGGGACCAGAACGGGCCGGTGCACTATTGGTGTGTTAATTTTGCATCTGAAATAGGCCGTTCTAGATGCAAAATTAACACACCAGTAGTACATCAGAACGGTCCGTTCTGAATCAAGAACGGCGCGTTCTGAAACCAGAACA